TATATATACATATATTTATATATAAATATATAATAAAGTTTCTTTGAAAAACACGCTTCATCCCCAAAAGCTCGAGGCGCGGTACAAAGTCAACCATATTAAAAAGAGAAATAAAAACAATCTAAAATTTACCACATTTAAAAACAGACGCAACAATATAAAACTATATACGAGCATAGCAAGTCAAAGTCTTTCATCCAGTTTCAACCATAAGCAACACAGGCCAATATACATTAACTGAAAAAGATGGTAGATAGCATCACCCCAGAAGGTGTTTGCAAAATAGATGTGTTTTTAAATCTGTTTTAATGGACTCCAGTGTCTGGCTGTTTCTGAGAGCGAGTGGAAGGGCTTTCCCAATTGTTAATCCGGCAAATGAAAAAGTCTCGTGGCGAACACACGGTATCATTATTTTGCCACTATCGGATGAGCGGAGCTCTCTAGTGGGTACATAAGGCGTCATGAGTGCGTTGAGATAAGATGGCGCCAGGTCATGTAAGCAGCGGTAGCACAAAGTTTCAATTTTGTACTCTATGCGAGCGCGGACCGGCAGCCAGTGCAGCTCTCTCAGTAGTGTTTTGGCGTGGTCGAATTTGCCTTTGTGAAGAACAATGCGAACCGCATCATTCTGTGCTCTTTGAATTTTATCCAGGAGCGCATCTGGGAGACCCACCATGAGAGCATTGCAGCAGTCCATGCGTGATACATAAATGCAGACATCATCCTCTTTGATGCATCTAAAGTTAAGTAAGGTCTGATATGAATAATCCTGCGGAGCTATAGGAAAATTGCCTTGCAAAGCATGTTAATATGATTTTCCATTGTAAGTGTTCTGTCTAAATAGACACCCAAAATATTTATATATATATTCTAAAGTACAAACAAAAAGAGTTTAATTTAATTTTGTTTAAAAACTCACAAGATGAATACGGTACTCAGGTAAAAATTTAAATTAATACAAAATTGTATGTAACTTCCTTTTTATTAGAGATGACCTTTCACTGATGATCACCAGTAAGATGAATAAATAATGTTTATATTGCTAAGCGTACTCATTGTGTTTTCATTGAAGATTCTACTATGTCAAATATGCTTAGAAGAAAAACATACTTTTTGTTATTCCAACAATATCTATTTAATTTTGTGTTGTTGATAATTTCTACTGAATCAATTTCTTTTCCAAACGGTGATGGCTTCATATCTCCATTATTTTCTTTACGTCCTCAATACAGACAATGGTAGGTTTCACTGATATTGTAAAGAAGTCGGGTAATTGTAACTGAAATTAAAAAAAATAAATGAAATATATTTGAATTTATAAAAAAAATTAAATATCTTTTAGCGAATATGAACTTAGTCATAATTTTTTATAGGTTTAAAATCATTTCCTGAAAATAAATGTTAATTTTCTTAATTAAATTTTTTAAATTTTTCTTTTTTTATAATTTTTTTTTTTGCTTCAATAAATTGATTTGATAAATGGTTCAAAATTCATCATGGGTGTGTTTATGAATGTAGAGTGGTGTGAGTCATTGGTTTCTTAGCTTGTATTTAAAGACCAGAAAAAGAAATGCGAAAGATTTAATTCATGGTTTAAATAGACAACATAAATTTCATGCATACTCTAACGTTTATATGACAGACTGTCCAGATATAGACTCTAACCTCCTGGTTTTTTTGGTTTGTTTTTTCGTTTTTAGAGTCACTTTTTACCTTTTTTTAAAATTAAAAAAATAAATGTGGAAATTGGGAATGCTAGGATCATTTATATCATCAAGCTTGCTATTTGGCTTTCTTTATTTAGATGTGAAATGGTGTTTAAAAAAAAACAACAACAACAAGATTGCTTACACCCACTGAGCATCAGCAACTTGGCGGTTGTCTGAACATTTTGTTTTGTGTTTCCTTCTCATCATGCAGCATATGCATTTCACGCACAGTGGTAAGACAATACAGATCAGTCCAACACCCAGTACAAAGCATAAAATAGCAATTTCATCTCGCGCTGAAATTTCCGGGTACAGTGTCACGGCTGTAACGAAATAACAAAGTATTAGAGGCTAACCAAAACGGATGTCCGCACAAAATAAATATTTCACACCTCCCACCGCCCCCCCCCCCATTTTCAACCTGTCAGCACTTGTCCGGATGTGGCTTAAACACCAACCCAGGTAGATGAGGAAGTCCGCAAATGCATTTGGCTTTTTACGGTGAGAAATGCCGGGAAGAATATTAACTATTACGAAGAGGAAATAATCGCTATTTTTTTTTAACTTCAAAAGCATGCACATGCACTGATTACTTTCGCGCTGCTCCAGATGAGGTGGGCGGTTGGTTGATATTAAAGATTATGCGTACTGGGTCGTAGGTGGGGGGGGGGAGATTCTGCGGAAAGAATGCAAATTTAATAATTATCCTGAAAATTCGACCCTCTAATATCTCTATTAAAGCCAACTGTCATCTCAAAATCTCTGAAATCCATGATATTTAAATATTACTTTTTTTTTAAAGTCTCAAAGAAATAAACGCAATATTTGTATTTGTCGTCATGCGTTTGCTGTGTGTTTTTATTCTCTAGGTAACACAACTCAAATGTACTATAGGTACTTTTTTTCTGTACTTAATACGAAATTTTCGATACAATGATTTCTTTTCACTGAACCAAAAAGCTGCGAAAAATAAGTGGAGTGGGGGGGTTGCTCTACATAACAAATTTTAACAACCCTACGTCAGTGCTTCTTAAGCCATTTTGTTACCCTACGCCCAACTTATTACCTTTGATGTTTATGTGCCCTTCCAACCCGCGCAAATTGTAAGAAGAAGAAAAAGAAGTGTTCTTAACAAAGGCTGCCTTAAAGAGAAATGCATTTCAAAATGAGGCCATTATAGTCTATAAGTTTAATATTTTTAGGATAACTAAAGAAAAAAAAGGGAAATATTTTTATATAAATATACATATATACGTATTGCAATATATACAAATTAATAATAGTTGTGACCTCAAAAATCATTTCTTAACATTACACACCAAACCAATTTAAAAAACAAACAAACAAAATAATTATATGGCAGATCTGTAGCGTAGTTAGGGGTAATTAATCCCCGTTCCTCCACTCCAGGGCGCACCATTATTGCTTCCGTTCTCTGACACAAAAAAAAAACTATGGGGTTTCCCGAATATCATTTAGTCAAATGGAACCGGAAACGCATCACCGTTTTTCGGACCCGGGTCCTATTAAACTAAATTATTCGGATGTCATTTGTGGTACCTTCCAGATATTTCACCTCCATCTTTCTTACTTACCTTCGTCACAATAAGGGCCATGGCCACCAGGGTGACACTGTAAACAAGTTCTATTCAGACGATTGCATTGCCCGTCTTTGCACTTCTCTGGACATGCCAAGGAACAGTTATCGCCGTAGAAGCCTTTAATGCAGCCTATGATATAGAAAATACGATCTTACCAAATTATTTTAAAAAAAAAAATATAACGTGGTAAGATGTAATTAAATAATGCATAAGTAACATATGATTAAACATCATTTTTAACACGCTATTTATTTGACCAAAAAATATATCGATATCGAATGGGTATTCTGAACACAGATAACTGTAACGCTTATCAACCAAATACTATGGTAAAACAATTTTAAAAAAGTAAATTTGTATTGAAAAAAAAAAAATACCGAGTTTCTTAGTGCATTCTTAAGAGCTGACAGATAGGCGAGTATTTGCATATTTGTATCATTCATGATGTTTTTTTTCATTTTGTTTCAAAGAATAAGACTTGGACTTAATAAACTTAAGACAGCCAGTCTCCAGCATGCCATGGCTTGTTTTAATGTAATTTTTCATTTGATGATTTACTGAGTATTAGCGCAAATTATTATAATGTTGCAAGGGACTCGCTCCTACAGGTAATCTTTTTTTCTATAGCCTCACAGGGTAACAATATTTTTTTTTTTACTATAGCCTGACAGGGTAACAATGATAATCCTCTTTTATTAAAGTCTGACAGGGTAACAATGATAATCTTTTTTTTTTATTATAGTCTGACTGACTGGGTGATAATGGTAATATTTATTACTATAGCTATAGCCCGACTTGATGAAGAGAGGAAACGGTGGTCACTAACTAGCGTTGTGTCTTTTTAAAAGTTCAGCTGAATAGCGAATAGTACTAAAATTAATGACTCGCTTCAAGATCATTTGCCTTTAAACTTGATATCGAAACGTGGTAACGTCCCAGTAACCTATTGAAAAAGTTTCCCTTGTTAAAGACAAATAAGTGTTGCATTTTATTTTTTTGTTTGCTTGTTGTTTGTGTGGTTTTTTTGTTATGAGTTACCTGAATTTGGTTCGGAATAAATAATATTCAAACTTCAAAATCAATTTAAATAAAAAGACGGAATTAGTCAAACGTTACGTAACAATGAAAAACAAAACCAACCAATTACTATAGAAAATACTATTTTACATTCGGCTTAGCAAATATAATGGTTAGTAATTGATGTAAAGACTCATATATAGAACATTGCGTCAGTAACATAATGAACGTTGGAATGTATAACATTATTTGTTGTTGTTATTTAATACCCTTAACTGTTCATAATTTTTTCTTTTTACTTGCAGGTTTTTTAATCTAATGTGATTTTTTTTTCTATTAAAGCAACCAGTCTAGAATCTAGAAAAGTAGAATATTTTTTTTTATTAAAAAAGGAGAGATTTATACAGGTGAAAATCACTGAAAGGTACACAAGATATCACCCACATGACAGGCATATATGTTTAGACTTTATTTATATTCTTTTTAAAAAATTACTTTCTTTCTTGTGCTTAAAATTTCAAAAAAAAAATAATAATTTGACATGAGAAGTTAATACAAAAGAAAAAAATTGAAAAAAAAGAGGAAAAAGAAATACCAAAGGCTTAAAAAGAAAACCTCTTAGACTAGACCATTACTTTAGATTTGTTCAGATTCGGCAAACCACGCACCCAAATTAAAGTGAAATAATGCGGACAAGTATTCATAGCCATTGCATGTTACTTACAACTTAATCATAAATGGAATTCACTTGAAACAAGAAATAACATTAGCCAAATTTAAAAAAAAAAAAAAAAAAATTGAGACGAAACTAATTATGGTTTCAATAAATTCCAAAAGATAAATAGAGAAATCGTAATAAAATTATGAATTGAAAATCTTGGTGTGTCACTATGACTACATTCGTCCTTCAAGGAACGACGTTTTGTTTAAAATATTGCAAGATAACATTGAGCTCATCGCTCTTTTAAAGTAGGAACGATATCAGGCCTTCTATAAAACTAATGATAGTAATGCATTATTTCAAAGGTCTTCAATGAAACTAATGATATTAATGCTGCATTTAAGTTATTCTATGAAATTAAGGAAATTAATGCTTTATTTAAGGTCTTCTATGAAACTAAGGATATTAATGCTTTAAGTTCTTCTATGAAATTAATGATAGTAATGCTTTATTTAAGTTTTTCTATAAAACTAATGATATTAATGTTTTATTAAATTTCTTCTATGAAAATAATGATATTAATGCTGTAAGAACTTCTATGAATCGAATGATATTAATGCTTTAAGTTCTTCTATGAAACCAATAATATTAATGCTTTATTTAAGGTCTTCTATGAAATTAATGATATTAAAGCTTTTTTTTTCTTCTATGAAACTAATGATATTAATGATTTATTTAAGGCTTTCGATTAAACTAATGATATTCATGTTTTATTAAAGTTCTTCTATGAAGCTACTGATATTAATGATTTAATTCCTCTATGAACTTATTGATATGAATGCTTTATTTAAGGTCTTCTATTAAGCTAATGATATTAATGCTGTAAGTTCTTCTATAAAACTAATAATATTAATTCTTTAAGGTATTCTATGAAACTAATGAATTTAATGCTTTATTTAAGTTCTTCTTTTAAACTGATGTTATTAATGCTTTAAGTTCTTCTAAGAAACTAATGATATTAATCCTTAATTTAAGGTCTTCTACGAAAAAAATGATAACTATGCTTTCTTTACGGTCTTCTATGAAACTAATGATATATAAGTGCTTCATTTAAGTACTTTTATGAAGCTAATGACTTTAATGCTTTATTCAATGTCTTCTACGAAAGTAATGATATTAATGCTTTATTTAAGTTCTTTTATGAAAATAATGTTATTATTGCTTTATTTAAGTTCTTCTATAAAACTAATAATATTAATGCTTTAAGCTCTTCTATGAAACTAATGATATTAATGCGTAAAATAAGTACTTTTATGAAACTAATGATATTAATGCTTTATTCAAGTCTTCAATGAAAGTAGTGACACTAATACTTTTTTTTAGTCATTTATTATTTGTAAGGTCTTCAACGAAAATAATGTTATAAATGCTTTATTTAAGTTATTCTATGAAACTAATAAAATTAATAAATTATGTTGTCTATGAAACTAATGATATTAATGTTTCTTTTAAGTTCTTCTATGAAACTAATGATAGTATTTCATTATTTCTAAGGTCTTCTATAAAAATAAAGATATTAATGCTTTATTTAAGGTCTTCTATGAAACGTGAGATTAATGTTTTACTTCGTGATATTAATGTTTTATTTAAGGTCTTCTATAAAACGTGATGTTAATGCTTATTTTAGTTCTTCTATGAAACTTTATTATAATGCTTTATTTAAGTTCTTCTATGAAACGTGACATTAATGCTTTATATTAATTCGTCTATGAAACGTGATAGAGATTGACATTTCCGATTTTTCTCCTTCAAGTATAAAAAAGAACGAAACAAAAAAAAACGCACTTTAAATTTTTAAAAAATTTAATCTTACTTTAACATATTTATATCAGAGCATTTGATTACATACGTAGCACATAAAAACTGTAGATCTAACCTTTGTCACAAAAATTGCCTTTGTATCCTGGGAAGCACTGCAGACAATATCCGTGGACGCGATCGCATTCCCCGTCCTTACACTTCACCGAACAAGTAAAGGAACAGTAATCTCCGTAAAATCCAATGGCACAGCCTATGTTAAAAAAATAAATATTATATCAATTACTACTAATTTTGAGAATATAGTATTGTTAGACTTCAACGACATAGTCTAGTTTTAAATTAATTTGAAATGCTACATAATATATATATTTTTTTTTTTGCTGAATATTTTTTCATTTTTTTATTTTTAAAAAAAATAGTTTAATTTATAAATTTAAAGGGAAAAATTTTCGCATGTGGATGTTGATATATCGATTTGTTTTATTAAAGTTTAATTTCAATCACCGTTTAATTTCAAAATTTTTCAAATGAGAAATGAAAATGAATAAAATCGAAGGAAAGAGAACAATTAGTTTGGACTTTGGTCCATTATAACCTTTGTCACAGAATCCTTTTTCTCGGTTACAAGATGCATAATTACAATGAACACTGCAGGAGGAATTGCAATCTTTACCCCATGTTCCTGGTGTACATTCTAATGTTAAAAAAAAACAAAAAACATTTATTAAACAAGTAGTAGTCTTCATAGAGAAGTAAAAAAAAAAAAAAATTAATCTTTTTATTTTTAACCCAGTTAATGAAGCACCTACTTTAGTAAGATGCATTTTAATTACGTTCCTTGTATGGGAGTTTATTTTGTCTTTATTTTGTCTGATGGAAATTATTAGAAGAGAACATTTAAACTATAGACAATAGTCCGCTAAATAACTGAAATTAATATGCCTTAACTATGAAAATTATATAGTGTTTGAACTTATATACATTTTATATATAATAAACATTTAATTAAAAGAAAAAACATAATCAGAACTGAGGATAGATCATAAATCACAACACGAATATGTGTTTACTGCAATATTGGGTACACTGTCATGCAATACTAAAGGATTGAATTAAGTACCTTGAACCTTCAAAAGATGGCATCTTGTGTCATAATGAACTTAGCTTTACCTGGTTTCTTAAATGTATTAGACACAATAAAAAGTATCTTTTCCTGTGGAAATAAGGGGGGTGGGGGGGGGGGGAAAGGGTTACCACAAAAGTCTTAAACTGTCGTCCCTGGAGAAGGGGGCTCATAACCTTTTATCCCTGGATGTGAATCCAGCCGGATATGGATTTTATAACGGTGGCAAGGGATAAATTCTGTAACCTCAATAATTTGACAAATTTAAAAAACTTGTGTCATAATGAACTTAGCTTTACCTGGTTTCTTAAATGTATTAGACACAATAAAAAGTATCTTTTCCTGTGGAAATAAGGGGGGTGGGGGGGGGGGAAAGGGTTACCACAAAAGTCTTAAACTGTCGTCCCTGGAGAAGAGTGCTCATAAACTTTTATCCCTGGATGTGAATCCAGCCGGATATTGATTTTATAACGGTGGCAAAGGATAAAGTCTGTAACCTCAATAAATTGAACAATTTAAAAAGATGAACTGCTAGGGGTGATCTTGGTAACATTTCTCCTCGGTGTAATCATTTTTGGTCAGTTATCTTTTGACATTAAATAAAATGCCTTATTCGTTGAACACCATCTATGTACTTCTTTGAAACGTGGTTTTAATACATTGGAACAAAGAGTTGACACTATTTGAAAGCCAGATTGAAATGTATGACAATTCTTATCACATGATGAGACAATGATTTTAATTAAAAAAATAATCCTAGATATGGGTGTTGTTGGCGCTTTATTTGGAATTATAACACATTATCTGCACGCAAGGAACGTGAATATGGATAGAATACTTTGAAGATCTATTAAACAGACTCCCACCCACAGATACGAACTGCATGGCCATATTCTTGAGGCAGTTTCCTCCGAAAAGTATCTGGGTGTTACCATTCAAAGAGAGGTCCGCTGGAACGAGCACATTAACAGTGTGTGCAACTGGGAAAACAAGACGCTGGGGTTCCTATGGCGCAATCTGAAGATCGGCAACTCAAGCGTGAAAGAAAAAGCCTATAAAGCCTTTGTCAGGCCTATTTTAGAGTACGCTTTTACAGTCTGGGGCACATTTACCCAGAAAAGCATCGACAGGTTGTTGGCGGTCCAGCGACGGGCAGCAGGCTTTGTCATGAACCGCTACAGAAACACCTCAAGTGTTGGCAGCATGCTAAAAACACTGGGCTGGTCAACATTGGAAGAACGACGACGACTATCCAGTCTCTCCATGTTGTACAAGATCAAAATCCACCGCTCCGGAATCAAACAGAAACTCGTTCATCTTCCCCCTAGACAGCGACGAGGCCACGACAGACAGTTCCGGCTGGTAAAAACTAGAAAAAAGTACAGGAGCTCCTCATTCCTGCCGAAGACAATAAGGGACTGGAACAAGCTTCCAAAAGCAACAGTTGAGGCGCCTACACTCGACACATTTGTGTCTACTGCCTCCTGCATTGCAACTCTCAGTTCGTAACACCACTGCTGAGTAGCTCTTGCAACCAGTGAAGTATCCCCTTGAAATCCATGCACAGTAACATCACGAACCCCTCTGAAACATAGGAGCCAGAATGATCAATTCATTGATCGTGGGCCCTCAAAATAAAGAAGAAGACACACCAGACATAAAACCAGCAAATGAAGACTGACTAATAGAAGAAAGCGCACCAAATAAGGAAGAAATAGCTCTGGCCATCAAGCAGCTCAATTAGGGAAATCACCGGGACCGAACAACATAACAGCAGAGATGATGAGAGCTGACATAAATACAATAGTTAACATGCTGCACCCTCTGTTTTAAAAGATATGGGGAGAAGATAGAGTTCCAAAAGATTGGAAAGAAGGATACTTCATCAAGATACCAAAGAAAGGGAATCTCAGCAATTGTGCAAATTACATAGGAATCACTCTGCTATCTATACCAGGCAAGCTCTTTAACAGAGTCATGTTGAATAGAATGAAAGACCAGGTTGATATGTAGCTACGAGATCAAAAGGCCGGCTTCTGCTAAACTAGATCTTGCACAAATCAAATTGCAACTATAAGAATGATTGTAGAACATTCCATAGAATGGAACTCCCCCCTAAATATAAATTTTATCAACTACGAAAGGGCCTTTGATACCCTGGACCGACAAACCTTGATTCTTCAGCAATATGGAGTACCAGGAAAACAATTCAAAATCATTCAGAGCTCTTATGAAGAAATGGCATGCAGCGTGGTCCACAAAGGTAGACTTACAGATTCCTTTACAGTCGAGACGGGAGTCAGTCAAGGATGCCACTTGTTCCATTTCTATTCATCCTTGCCATTGACTGGATAATGAAAAAATCCACAGACAAAAAGAGGAATGGGATACAGTGGCACTCTGGGAACAACTGAATGACTTAGACTTTGCAGACAACATTGCACTTCTAACCCACAATCAGCAACAAATGCAGGAAAGGACAAAAGCTGTAGCCACCTTTTCAACACAGCTTGGTCTTAATATAAATTAAAGCAAGAAATAAATCATGAAGGTAAACTTTTCCAAACAAAGAGCATATCTATCTGGCAGGAAAGGCACTGGAGTCCTTCACATACTTAGACAGCACCAAAGACACAAATGGCGGATCTGACTCGGACGAAAGGTCTAGAATTGGAAAAGCTAGATCTTCATTCGTGCTATTGAAGAAAAGATGAGAGTCAAAGGAGCAGAAACTGCAAACAAAAGTTAGAATCTTTAATTCAAATGTTATAACAGTTCTACTATATGGAGCAGATACTTAGAAAACAACAGCGAGCATTACGCAAAAGTTAAGACATTTATAAACACATACCTTGGAAAAATCCTGAACATCAAATGGACAAAAACTATAACCAACAAAGAGCTACTAGAAAGGACATACGAGGCGCTCATTGATGAAGATATAATAAACCCCAAGATAGCACCACCAGACCATGCCTAACACGGAACCCACAGGGAAAAAGAAAGATATGAAGGCCTAAGAAATTATGGAGATGTGAGCTAAAGGCAGACACACAAAATATGAGATACACATGGAAGCAGTTGGAAAGGAAAGCACAGGACCACGATGAGTGGAAAATTCTTGTGGACGCCCTATGCCCCAGACGGGGTAAAAAGTCAGAAGAAGAAAGAAGAAGACGAAACAGCGGATTGTTTAACCTTTTTTATAGCTTAGCCGAATAGCCTGGGGATTAAGGTTTTTTCTTCTTCTTTCCGCGTCACGGGGAGTTCCATCTGTCGCAAGTTTGGAGGCCTCCAGAGCATCTTGCTGTGGACATTAAAGGAGTCATTGCACAGTCGATCTTGGAAGCAATCTAAGGGAATTTACCTTTAGTACAATCTGGAGGGTCACTGTATCCATTACAACCGTGGGTACAAAGTCCACTTAGTTGGTCACATGACGCATTGTAACAACCGACACAATTCTTGTCGCAATTGAGGCCCCAAGTATTAGAACCGCATCCTGGAATACATTATAAATTTTATTTTCATTCAAATCAAGATTTAAATAATTTTAAATCAATCTTTAATCTATGGACAGTTTTACTTGAATACAATGACGTAAATTAGGTTAAAATGTAGTTTTTTAAACGATGATGAACATATATAAAAAAAACACAATAAATTTTAAAAAATTAATTTTAAGGTGAGAGAAAATCAAAGATTTGCAAAACCATTCATGTCCGCATTTCCTTAACCACCAGATCAGTTCCTAATCAATGCTCGAGTCTAGTCCCATCCACCATATCATTTCATAATCAATGCATGAGCTTAGCCCCATCCACCAGATTATTTCCTAGTCAATTCTCCAGTCTATTCCCATCCACCAGAATAGTTCCTAATCAATTCTTGAGTCTAGCCTAGTGGTGGGCAAAGTCATTAGTCAAAGGAGCCAAAAATCAGCTGCAGGGCAAATTAATTTTTATTTTTGATATCCAAATTTCTTGGCAAGAACCATGTTTTTAAAAAAAGTAAAAACTGATTTGTAGCCGGCTACACTGGTCTAGTCCCATCCACCAGATCATTTCCTAAACAGTGCTTGAGTCTCATCATATCCACCAGATCCTTTTCTAATCAGTGTTTTGGTCTCGCGTAAACTTAAGATACATAAAGGTCCAGTCATGTTTTTGTTGTTTGTTAATAAAAGTAAATACATGTATAATTTTGGGTATTTGGTAGTGGGATACTTAGGTTATTTCCACAATAGCAACCCCCTTTTTTTTCCCAATCAGGGTTTGAACCCTGCCTCTCATCAATATTGTTGTTAACGCTGTATCGTTAAGTCGATACAAAAATTTTTTATTTTTTATGTCTAAATTTTGAAGGGAAAAAAAAGTATGTATTCACCCAGAACCTACCTTGAAGACAAAGGGGTGGAAAGGCCGTCCCATTACAGCCCACTTCGCAAGTGCCATCCTTAAAACATGAACCGTGTATACATCTGCCCTCGCAACTATCACAAAGGAGTCCACCTGTCTTAGGGGGGCAATCTGTCGAATGAATGACTATCGTGAATAACTTCCAAAGTTGACTGGTGGCTTTGCAGACTAAATTGCATAAAAAAAACAAATCATGTGGAGTTGAGTTCAATCCTTAGCAAAAACCTAGTTAAAAACAAGAAAATAAAAACTCCGAATTTTTTTGTTTTTAAAGTCACACTGAAGCAAAGGAGATTGTATTTAACCTTGGATAAATGAATTCAAACGATAGGAGAGAGAAAACATTGAAATAGAACCGAAATATGGAGTCCCGAAAGCGGTATGAATTTAAAACACAATGAAAAAACGGGCGATTCCTGCAGTGCTTGTGATGTTATCAAAAATGGATGCTCCATTGGGTTCAAACGGATTCTGTGAAAAGGGCATTTTCTATCTAAGGAATAAAGCATATTTACCTTTTAAAAATCTCTATAGATCTTTTTAAAATTTAATTATGCAAAGTCTAAACCACATTTGCAGGGTGATGTCGAATGATGATTGGGACTTTCACTAACTCGGGAAAGGAAAATATATGATTTCAAATGGAGTAAATCTTTCGTATTCCCCTGGAATCATTTCCAGCCCAAAATGGTAAAGTTCATAAAGATTAAATGAAACACACATTCCGAATTTTCTGTCTTATTTCCATTTTGGCATGACAACCATTGTTAACAGATCAAGGTGCTTGCTTTCAGATAGGGAAGAGATATGGCACAATACGTTACCTCCAAATGTTTCTACTTCGCACAGCATCATTGCCTCAAACACAGACTTTGCGATTATAGCAAGAAATCTCCACGGTTTTTTCCAGTCTCTGTTTAAAACTGCAACGATCGGTTCTTTCACTATGGTATAATCGTTTCTAAAAAGCAAAGTATCTTCTTCGTGACCAAAACCGTAACCGGTGAGTTCAAAATATTGAGTCCTATATCCTGGAAAATGATACAACAGAACCTCAATAATTACAGAAAACCAAAAAAAAAATCAACCAAAAAACTTCCTTTTAAAGACAACTTATTATTGCTCTAATGATAAAAAGAAACGAGGAAGAAAGAAACAGCGTGGGCTATGTATTTTTTTTTTTTTAAAACAGTGGCAACCTACCAAAGTCCCGTATGTTGTACAAAAGAATCCTGGTGATTATAAAATCATTTTTGTACGTAAGCGTCCAGAAAGGTACCGCTTTGGCACAGGTGTCGAAGATGGCTGAAGTGTTTCCATCGACTGCCCGGCTGGATGTCCCTGGAAAGACTTTATTCGATAATTTATCGTACGAAGTATTCTGTTTCAATGCAACATTTCGACCTGGAATTAAAGTATAATACATGGTCGTTTTTTGTTTGTTTTTATTTTCAATGAATGTACTTATAAGCTAGAACACCCCCCTCCCCCGATAAATGTGTTTAATTATCAAGAAATTAGTAACTTTTTGTTCCAGCACCTCGCGCTTATGCAGAGCATATTGATGTAGGTGTTTACACTTTTGATTATTAAAATGATATTTTTGAGATTGGCCCAATACAAAAAAAAAGAGATTATTTTCTTTAATTTAATTAAAGTTTTTAAGAGGAAACATAGAAATATACTAGATATGCTCGATGACACATGGCACTAATATGTTAGAGGACTCTTGGGATTTTTAGATATTCAACAAATAAAGAAGTGTTAAGATTGTCAATCGAGTGGTGGTGAGTCGGCGGGGGTTTGAAGCAGTCTGATGCGGCAATGTAAGTGTCGTGAAGAAGCTGGGCAACGATAACAACAAAAAAACAACAAAAAACGTACAATACAGGAAAAGAAACATTTGATATAACATACCCCCATTTATTTGCACAGCACACAGGTTGTTTAATTGTGTTCCGGATAGGATGACTTTCGCTACCGGTTCATTGATGTCACAGCCGAGCTCAAATCGACCAGGTTTCGTGGTAGAGAAAAATTTGCGATTGTGGCAGTCAAAAATTGTTCCGATTCTTTCAGCCGATTCAAATCGTAAAGTAATACTATCAGCTGTTTCTGTTATGAGATTTACTACAAAAAAAAAATAATAACTATTTTATCGGAAATGCATAATACTTGAAAAAATCCTGCACAACCAATGCAAGTAAATTCATTATTTATAATTTAATAATTTTTAAAAATAAAGTTATGGGATATTTGCAACATCGTTGAATTTCTACCAACAAAAATATGCCTTGATTTAATTACTTTGCAAGAAGCACACCATTTTTTTTCACGTCATATGATAGAAAAATGGTCGAAGTACATAAACTATAACTTGATCTAGAAGAAGAAAAAGACCAAAAGGAGAGCAGACATTTGTCTGGGTGTATGTATATATGTATTCATGAATGGATGTATGAATGCCTCTATTCATGTTGTGCATTCAGTGCGGTGAGCCAACAAATAATTCAAAGAAAATGTGATCATCGTCATTATGCCCCCCCCCCTAGACAGCGCCGAGGCAATGAAAGGCAGTTCCAGGTCATGACATCAAGAACTCGGTACATAAACTGCTCATTCCTGACAAAGACACCCATGAACTGAAACAAGCTTACAAAAAAGGAACAGTTCAGGCGAAAACATGTGAGACATGTGCGTTATGGCGTTAAGCCTCCAAACAGTTTCTGATACCCTCACTGAGCAGGCCCACATATCTTAAATACAAGGTACAGAGACATAGCTAACCGTTCTACATAAATAGGAGCCAGAATGATCAATAAAATTGATCGTGGGCCCTTAAGATATAGTAGAAGATGACGAAGACACACACGAATACTTGCTGCAGCGAGTACTTTCTGGAGGATTGTTACCTCTAACTATTGTAGCAGTAGCATCCCCATTGTTATTGCCAATAAACATTTTGTTCCCCACGTGGTGCTGAGCTCTCACATGTGATTCCAAGAATTAGTTAGTATACACAGCGGCCACACTACAGAAAACGGCCACTGGCTAGCCAGCAAAACAAGTTAGCCCAAAGTTATTCATGTCTTCTTTATAGCACGGCTTATCCAAAGCTGTATGAAAAGAGTGTAACCAGAGGATTTACCGGAAGAACCTCCAATAGGTCAACGGGCGGGAAAGCGGTGACTGTAACGAATTTCTCAGGCATGGGCAAGACCTGTAGAGCTCCATTTTCGTAAACTGCACCCAGTCACGCCCCCAGCCGTCTGAACCTTGTCTTGCCGCTTGACTCAGAGGCGTTGGGAGTGAAAGTGAGTTTCACGAAAATATTCCTCATTTTCAAGTCCTGTTAAACATTCATCCCTTCTAGACTTTTTGTTTCGTTATCTTTGAGATGGGTGGGGTACTTTGAGCAATTGCTGAATATGGAAACATATTTAGCACACGCCAGATTTCAACACTGGGCATTATTGTAGAATTTTCCGCTGAATAGCAATCTGCCCCATATAAGCAATTGTTTCGACTTATTAAAAGCCTCTGATTACCTGGACCGATACACTTGTAAAAAATACCCCGGCAGTATGGGGTACCCGAAAAACTATTAGGGATCATTCAGAGTTCTTATGAAGAAATGACTTAAAGGGTGGTGACTCACCAATGCCTTTAAAGTAAAAATAGGAGTCAGGCAAGGAAGTCACTTGTCCATTTCCTATTTATCCTTGCCATCGACTGGGTAATGACAAAATCCACAGACAAAATTGACCAACGGGATATAGTGGACATCCTGGGAACAAATGAATAGACGAAATTTCATTTCTCTCCCACAACCATCAGCAGGAAAAGACCAAAGATGTACCCAGTATTCCAGCACAATGCGAACTCAGTATAAATAAAAGCAAGACAACGATCATGAAGGTAAACTCTTTTTTAAACCCTTAGATAACATACCCAGACAATCACGAACATTGAAAAAAGGAAGAGAGGAAGGCCAAAGGACACTGGGAGTCGATGATACACAATGCATAGAAGATACATCTGGCAGTAACTGGAACAGAACGCGCAGGACCTAGATAAATAGAAATCCCTTGGGACACCGTCTGCCCCAGACTGGTTAAAATGGCATAAGTAAGTAAGTAAGTAAGTAAGTAAGTAACTCTGTTGGTCAATGTGCATCTCAATCGCAATGTCATAAATGTATGTCTCCACACACATACAGTGCACAAAAGATGATTGGGTGTATACTTTTTGTTTAATTTTAAATAATATACGAAAGAAAGAAGCAGAGTGAATGATAGAGATACAAATAAGACAATAAAGAGAAATAAAGGGGGAGACAGAGTGCCAGAGAGAATAAAGAGAGGGAGAGAGAGAGATGGAGATTGAGATTAAAAAACTAATTAAACTTAATCATCAAACCTCCTTCCTTCACTGTTAAATGGAGCCAAGTAAATACCAGTTGCGATTCAAATGTCACTGTAACTGATTGCAGCCTCTGATTATAGTTGCACGTGCTGTCACTATTATCCGTTAACCAGTCCAGACGAATGTCACTTGGAACTCCAGTCACATAAGTTTTTGGGAGTTCCATGAAATTTTCTTTTTTTTTTTTTTTTTTTTTTT